ATTTGCCTCAGGTGGGTAGTAAACAGACGCAATTGGGTGAAATTGAAGGAAAAGAAGAGAATCTAAGTGGTAGGTACAGTGAATAGATTCAGTTGATTAAGTTAAATGTGATGAACACACAAGGAGATACATATATATTTTGAACATATTTTACCTAATATTTTACTGTAGTCACAAGAGTTCAAGAAGAACAATAAACCCAAAACCTCTAAGAGGGTTTAATTTTTAGTGAAGTTGATGAGAGCTTACCAATCAACTTGAACATTTTATAACAACAGGTGTAGAATTTCAATTTATCTTTTTGTAATGAATACACACAAAATATTTTAACAATAAAACCAATAAATCTAAGTCGAAGTCCTAGTACCACTTTTATAGGAATAGACAACAACTTATTAATCACCATGAACTTCTTCACACATTTATGTGTCTTTAAAATCCAAGACTTGACTTTGGCGCGGAAGAAAAAAATTCGGTATCATAACTCCAAGTTTTATTATTTTAACAGATATTTTTATAATTTTGGTGGATTATTTTATAACAAAAATATTTATCACTTTTATAAATATTTTTATTATATTTGTGGTAACTAATTTTACCACTTTTTTCGGTACAAAAAAAAATTTATTACTTTTATGGATATTTTTATCATATTTATGAATAATTTTTTCACTATGTTGTAGTAATTATTTTTACCATTTTTTTTGGATACCATAATAATAATAAAATTACCCACAAATATAATAAAATAATTACAAATTTAATAATTAAAAATATGATATTAAATTTTTTTTTTCAATACTGTTGTCAAGTCCTAAAGTCCAATTCTCAAGATCATTTTTTTCTCATTAGTAAATGCATGTTTGCAAAATTTGACATGATTTTGACACTGATGTGATTTTTGTGGACCGAAAATTAAAGCTCCATTGTTGTCGGCCTTCATCCAACTGTTTTTTGTGGAACAAATAATATTTGTATTTGATTTGGTGATTTAAAAACTAACCTAATAATCATAATCAATTAAGTCCCCAATAGGTCTCCAAATTATATCTCAAATCCCAACCGCGTAATATGCTCTCTTTCTCTCTCTCATTTTCTCTCTCTCTCTCTTATACACCCACAAAAACATAACGACAACAAAAACAACAAAAAGAATTTCACTACAATATTCTTACAACATTGGAGTTTGTTTTCGGTAATTAAAGGTTATATTAAACCATTATCTAATTTAAAAACTTAGGTTATAGAAGACTTTATAATCTAATCCTATCACATATGGGTTATATATTTTGCAAAGCACATAAAGAATTTTGTAACATTTTATAAACGAAATAGCTTATCATGACCAAGCAATGAATTTTGTAATCAGAGCTCTTGACAAGTAGTCCTTATTATATGACAGTATATTTGAAGAGACGAAACCAATTACAAGAAAATGTAAAATCACTGTGAGCGAGGTATGCAAGGATCAGACGAAATCAACCCCGTAACTTAAGGAAGAAGTAATCTTCCTTCTGTGAAGATAGAACTCTCTGTGAAAAGTCCCCCTCTCTCAAATGATAATTTTTTGAGAGGAATGAAGCACATTGAGTATTTGTGTTGAAGATAATGGATGACTCATATTCACTAGATATCCAAGAGTCTAATGACCCATGAAGTAAGCGAAGGATATAAGGAGCATAGCACCAAAAAGCGAAATTAATTGCAAATTATTCTTCTGATATAGTGAAAATAACTAATCTTTCCTTACGTAGATAAATTTTTTCTAAACTACATTAATTTGTGTATTCACTGTTTGATTTTTTTTTCCTCATTAATTTTTTTAGTGCGCTCCCAAACAAAAGAATATTTTCAGGTTTTTTGGGTCATGTTGGTTGATATGATAATTTCTTATCTCAAAGATTACACCCAAACCTTGGGATTGATACAATTTCAATGGAGAAAGTACATAAAATTCAACTACCTTGGACAATAGCCCAAAAAAAAAAAAATTTCAAGTACCTTGGGATTAATACAATTCAGTGGAGAAAGTACAACAAATTCAACCATTGTCACCACAACTACAACCCTCCAAATGAAAAATTGAAAAATACACCATCCGTTGAAGACAATCACAATACCTGGATGGGAACTACTTGAAAATAAAGAAGCTCAGAACTGGGGTGAAGTTAGGATCCTTTTTCTTTTTCTTTTTTTTTTTTCTGGGGAAGGGGAGGGGGGGGGGGAATTTAAAGAAACACCATCCGATATAAAAAATTTGTCAATTTAAGCATGATAAATGTATTACGATTCTTGTTCAAATTACTAAATAAAAACTAAAATTCGTATCAATATTATATCAAAACAAAGTATAATATTTTTCCAAATCTCAAAAATTGTGATTTATGCTAAGTTTCTAAATAATTTCCTTTCACTATATATTGGAAAAGGCAGAAACACCCATTTGGATTTGAAAACTTTACAATTTGCATTTCTTCGTATTTTAGTGAGGTGAAAATCTTTACTTATAAAAAAAGAGACTAGGTCAACTATATGACTATTCTAACAGAATGGGGGCATTGTATAAAATCAAAGAAATGCATTTTTTTTTATTTGTTGAGGTTACATTTCATTTGTTTCAAAGAATCCAAAAATAAAATAATTGTTTCATTGGTCAAGAGGGCCAATAGTGAACTACTAACTTATAACCAAAAGATAAGGCATTATACAAAATTTCTAAAAAATCAAAGGGGGCAATATGCTAATTTAAAGAAAGTCAAGGCTGCTAAGAGTATATATATATATTTGGTTTTTGAAAGGTCAGTGGGGGCAAACCCCACCCCCTCCCCCCGGGTGGGACCCTAGTGTCTATATATATCAACCTCTCACACTTGGGCTTAATCACACAGATGGACCTAGATTATAATTGAAAATCTCAAGCTTTTTCATTCCTAATTCTCTTAACATGGATAGAAGAGCTCTGCGCAACTAAGTGTCAGGTGGTACCACATGCTAGACAGAAGTATTGTTGGGATTTTGATAAATTAATTCTAATATGCACTACTATGGAAAAGAATCCATTTTACTATGCCGCAATTTTCAGGAAAAGCCTTGTAAACAAGAAAATGCAATCAGTTTGCCAACAATATATGTGCTTAGAAGGGGATCAAACCATGCATTAATTAGCAAATATAAAGTGGTTGTAAATGGATATATATATATATACACATATATATATATATAATACAAACCCACCCACCTACCCATACACTATCAGTGTATCACACAAGGTCAGTAAGTTCGCATATATTCACAAACAATCTCTCATCTCTTCTCTCTCATTCTTACACGATCAACTACATCAGTTTGGAAAGAAAACTGGTTTTTATTTAGTAATGTTCCAAATAACTACACAATTTCGTAGGAAAGTTGAGGTAAAACATTCCAAATGCAGGTTTCAACGATTTTATTTTATCCTGGAGGTGAATTTACCATCCAACAACAAACAATTAAGGAGGTGCGAGATTATAATGTGTCTTAACAATGTTCCTCAAAGTGCACAGATTGCTCTTGACATTCATCATACTCAACCCGCTGTCCTAACAAGAACAATATAGGTGAATCCTTTAAAAGGCATTGTCTTCACCCTAATGATCTGGCATATTAAGAAACACAGTCCTTTTCCTTCCTGGATAGCAATTATTTCCAGTCAAACAAGCACCACTTCTAAAATAAGATTTTTTTAGGTCACTTGCCGATTTTGCTTGCTGCATACGGATGAAGTAGGATCCCCACAAAACAAGGATGAAGTCTCATACAATCTCACAGATTATGGTCTCCATGAACGTTTTTCTCTGAGAAGAGATTAACAAAGGGCCTGAATTTAGTGATAAGTGCTAATAGGTGTAGTAACTATGCCTAGCCACATGAAAAAGATCATGGGTTAGGTGAAAATTTATGTGCACTCTGAAAATAAATTCTGGACATTGTTTGATGCCATTAATACTAGGTTTCATCATCAACCTGCCATAGAAACATCAAATAAGAAATGCAATTGTGCAAGTTGCAAACACCTTGATTATGGACAATACGATAAAGATGCCACTGCTGTTTAGAAAGGTGAAGCGGAAAAACTAAGTTGAGTGGGTTATAAAAAAAATTGTACACGAGTATGTGTTCACATGAATAATTACTATACCACAAAAAGAAACAACAAAAGCAAGCCGCTGCAACAAATACCAAAACCCCCCAAAAGAGAGAGAGAGAGAGAGAGAGAGAGAGAGAAGACAAATAACATAATAAATATGAAAACAGAAACAAAAAGGAAAGGTGGAAAGGAAAAGATGAAAGGGAAAAAATAAATTTACAGAGGAAACTCCTGAATTGAAATTACTGAAACATTGCATAATTGTATTTTCCATCCACATTAAAGCATGTTTATACTACTGTGTTGATTATTAGGGAAAGCATAAGGGACAGATTGGCTTCCCTGCAATTCTAAAGCTCAAGGCAAAACCTAGCTCAGGTGCAACAATGTTTACTCCCCCTGACAGCTGCATCAGATAAGTTCCAGAATTTGTTAAGGAAAAAGAACTCTAATGTTTCAAAATATTTGTTACATTTGCTTTGTTACTGTTTTTGGCCATCCTATGGAACGTATACCTGCTGTCAAACCACAGCATGACACAAGATTGTGTATTCATAGGAGTTACCTAACGTAAGTGACATAGGATATTGGGTGAAGTATTGGCCCACGGCCTATACTTCCCTCATAATTCGAATAACCTGTGTTAGATGTTTTTGTTCATGTCATATTGCCTACTGTTTGTACAGGCACGATTGTTGCTTGTAAAGCTTGTATTGAATCAATAAAACTATGTTTGCTGAAAAAAAACGACAGTTTATGCTGGAAAAAATTGAACGGAACAAGGAAACGAATGAGGAAATTATTGATTGAAATAAATAAAACAATGCAACTTGTATTTTCCACCCACATTAAAGCAAGTTTATGCTCTCTCTCTCTAAGCTTAAGGCAGAGAAATTGAAGGAAAAAAGAAACTGGAAAATAGGGATTTCATAAAAAATGACCACGGTGATGCGGATTTGCTAGTTCGTACTAGCAGTTCTCTCAGATGATAAAGGATATGATATAACAAAGTAATTAACAATCCAATTAGGGTTCATGACAAAACAATATGTGATGTAGGTAATCTAAATTTTATTAACAAGTGGCAGCAGCACAAGAAGATATAAAAGAAGAAACAATTAAAAAAAAAAGAAAAAAAATGCGAATTTACTGCTAGAACTAGTATTGATTTATTACTCTCAGATGATGATTGTGAAAACAAATGAACAAAGATCAAAGTGGGAAGGATGACCATAAAATAGAAGATTGAGGGAATTTACGAACCAGTACTTGCGCTCTCAGATGAACTCAGGAGCTCATCGAGCAGATCTGCTCCTAAATCTTCAAGTACCAAAACATTGTCAGAAATTTCAGAGATCCATGAGGCATTTCCTGCATTTAGGTCTTTCCCTTTCTTTCTCCTACCTCTTGACTTGCCTCTCATCTTATGTTTTTCCTTTAATTCTGCAGCTGGGGAATACCCATCCTTGTAGCTACACCTCATCTTCAAGTCTCGAAGCGACTCCTGAACTCTCTCCTTTGGGAAGTTGAGGAGAGCCAACTGGCCTCGCATCAAAAATGCAGCTTGATCATAAGCCAAAGCAGCCTCCTCAGCACTATCAAAAGTTCCAAGCCAAACCCTCATTCCTTGTCTTGTCGAATCCCTTATCTCGGCCGCGAAACTTCCCCATGGTCGCCTTCGAACTCCTATGTATTGCTTTTGCTTTAGATTCTCTTCTTTAGGTTTACCCATGGAGAGATCGATTTCAGTGGTTTTGGGACATCCTCAGTGAAGATCTTGAATTGAAGGTTCTCCTTTGCTGCATCAAAAGTTAGCAAAGACCAGCTCATCCCAAGATGATGATGGCGACTCTGGAGAGAGTTCAACACTTGAATATTGAGGGGATGAAATATTTTTCTGCAAATTGATGACTTCTGAGGTTTGGACTTTATGCCATTGCTCTGTTGACAAAGCCCTCAATTGGGTCTAAATTCCCAAAAACGAGGTAAGACTTTGTCAAGTTTCAAAGAGTATGAAACGGGAAAATGGATTCCATTGAGCTAAATGGGAGATAGAGATCTTTGTCTAGGGGCAAACCTCAAAATCCAAATCTATATTCAGTGAAGCAATGGCAAGGTGGGTAGGGTACAGTGTGATGTCAGCCTTGTTCAAGTGGCTATTTTTCTAATGATTATTGAACTGAGGACGTGAGTTGTTAATCAAAACACATCTGCTTGAATTTGACTTGAATTCAGCTCGACTTTAGCTCGTTAAAAACTCGGTTTATTTTTTAAATGAGTCTAAACTTAAAGAAATTTTTAACCCCGTTTAAAAAATAAGTCATATAAGTTCGGGTCAAACTCAACATGCTCAACTCGTTTATGTACAAATATTATAGCTCAGCTCGGCTGGGACTTGTTCAAATAACAGCCCTACTGAGGGCCCACGTAGGTTGAGTTTGTCATTTGAAAAACTGAAATATGATTTGATTATTAAACTGAGGACTCAGTATATGCATAGATTAGTTGAGACAGGAATTATCAAGCATTTCGAGTTGGCAATAAAACATGAGTATTGGTATTGAAATTTGAAAAATTTGTCTAATTTACTTGCAATGTGTTAAGTGATGAAGTCATAATAAAAAAAAATTCAAGAATTACAATCACAAAAATGTTACTGACCATATCACTGTCATATTATTAGATTAACAAATTAAACTAAGTTTTTAAGTCCTAATAACATTATTCATAAAATATTACAGAAAAAAGAGATTAATTGAATATCTAGTTTTATCAACTTGACTAGAAAAATTATAGTTTCTTTAATTTTATCAAGCATATCAACGCCACGGGTCTATTTAGAGGACGCTAACAATACAAATACATTCTATCATAAAGTTATGGCCATTCAGAGCTTAGGCCAAGAATTTTATAGGAAATATTTTTCCCTGTCTACATAACAACATTCTTTTATCATTTTGGCCACCAATTATCTATACTATTAATTAAAGTATTTCAACATAAAAACTTTTGATTCATTATTTTTTTTTTATAAAAAATTATGAAGACCATCATATGTTTTTGTATTTAAATATATAAATTATAATTATATCTCTTTTTATGTAAATAACAAACTAATCTCTAACATATCATGTAAATCTCTATCTTTACAAAACTTTTGAATGGTTATGTTATGATTAACATGATATATAAAAACTAATCCATTAAAGAGCAATTTATTTCTTGCTAAAGTCTCAGATAATCAGAAGCTACAAATTATGGAGTGTTTTCAATACCCCATGGGCAATATACCAATTAGGTGCCTGGGTATCCCTATCATCACCACAAAGTTGAGGATCAAGGAAGAAGCATTTGGACTGTCAAACCTCCACAAGTTTGTTCATGGAAATGGAGAAAATTATTGAAGTTAAGGGACTTTGCTATACCTTTCTTTCTTCATATCATTGGAGATAGGAGAGAAACATCACTCTGGTTTAATAATTGGCATCCTTCTGGACCACTAATGCTTAGATGGACACCTAGAATTTTGTATGATTCTGGCCTCAACAAGAATTCTAAAGTATGCCATATTATTCATGGCAATCAATGGAGATGGCCAAGGGCTAATGCTCGTAACAACTGAGAGTTGTTACAAATTGAAGCTTCAATGCCAACCTATTCCCCTAGGCCTGAAATGAAGGATGTGATTAAATGGCTGCCGACCCCTAATGGCTCCTTTTCCTCTGCTTCAGCCTTAGAAGAATTAAGGTATAATCAGCCTATGGTTCCCTGGCACAGGCTTCTATGGTTTTGCCAGTGTATACCAGAGATGAGCTTCATACTTTGGCTTGCTATTAGATGCAGGCTTTCAACCAAGGATCGCATTCATAGCTATATGCAAAGTGTGGATTTAACGTGTGTCTTGTGTAGAATTGCTCCTGAAACTCACTGTCATTTATTCTTTAACTGCACTTATTCAGAAAGGATCTGGAAACTTGTTCTGGAGAAGTGCCATCAGCCTTGGCAACACTTACCTTGGCATGATTTTATCATCCAGTCTGCTAACAATTGGAAGGGGAAGAATTTTGCCACTGTGATCAAGAAAATCTGTCTTGCTGCAACTGTATACATGATATGGAATGAGATGAACCAAAGGATTTTCAAGAACCAGCAGAAGGACCCTGTGACTGTCCACCAGATCATCATCAATACAGTCAAGAATAGATTAATGTCTCTGAAGATCAAGGATAATATTGAGAATAGAAGACTTGCTCAATCATGGCAACTGCCCATTTCTCTTTTGTCCATGATATAGACTCTAAGCTATAACATAGAATGCTTTTGGTTAAAATATTCGGAGAATACTGAAAGCTCTCAGCATTCTCCTCAGATTTTTTCTGTTTTGTTTATGTATGGAACTTGTCTTGCATGATTCAGGCAAACAAGTGATGCCTTTACTTGTATATTCTCATTGGTATCAATACACTTTTTACTTACCCAAAAAAAAAACATGATATATAAAAATAATATTATTCTTTTTTTTTAAAACCCCAATAATAATACGTTAACATCTCTATTGATACAATATCATCTTTAATACCTAAAAACAGCTATATTTATATTATCTCTTCATTCAGAATCAAAATAATTTGACAAAAATTACTAATACACAAAGTAAAAACAAGAAAGACAAAAAGAAAAATCGAGAAAAGAAAAATTTATAAACATTACTACTTGGTAATTTGAATGAAATAATCATAAAATTGAATCAATTGGATGTTTATAGTTATGAAGAGAATACGAATAATTTAAGTATGATAAATATGAGATAATATCTAATGTAACTATATAATTAGCTTTTTATATGTATTTTATTAAATATTTCAACAAAAATTTTCACATGCAACACACGTTATGCGTTGTTAGTTATACAAAGTGGGTAGAGATCATTCCAATGAAGGCGGTCAATCAAGCCAATATCATACGAATGATAAAAGAAACTATTGTGCACCGACCCAGCAGATAGTGACCAACTAAGGAACAATCTTTGTAGGTAACGAGTTCAAAGGATTTGCAGATGAGTATGGTTTCAACAGAATCTGTACTACGCGCAAGGAAACGGCAAGCGAAAATCACCAACAATGTGATGAAGAGAATTATTGGAAATCTAAGGGAATAGCATGACAAACTATTGGAATACTATGAGCATACAAAAACATCCAAATGGTCTAGCACCAAAATTTCACCATTCAAACTGACGTATGGGCACGACGCGGTTTTACTTATGAAAATTACCTTGAAATTGCTACCAGTAGCATTTTAGAATGGGTTAAGTCTAGCTAAATACAACGAATCCATGACAATCAAGCTTGAGGTTTTGGACGACGGGCGGCTGGATTCTTTGGATTGCATTAAGGTGGAAAAACTCTAAGCTGCCAGGGGCGTACAAAAGGGATCAGAAATAGGACTTTCGGCATAGGCAACCTAGTCTGAAAAGTAAAGTTGGCTTTGCAACTAAATGACTCGAGGATTGGCAAATGATCGACAACTGAGAAAAGCCAATTTATATCTAAATATGGAAATATTTTATACATCATATGTAATAGTTAAATATGATGTATACATATATTAAAAAATATATATATGAAAATAATATATATTTCAACACTCATAATTAATTTTTCATTAACATTTTTTCCCAATTAGAGGGATTAACTTTGGTGAGTTGAAAGAAAAATTAATTCATCCACTTTTATGTCATTTTTTTTCATATTTTTTTTCTTTCTCAAACATGATTATTTATCCCTTCACGATCAGATCGACAGTTACAGTTGATCCTCTAACAACCTTAGCACGTTATGTTATTATCCAATTAATTAAAAAAAAATTTACTTACATTCTTTCTAATTCATCATATCTTCAAAGATACTCCCTGAATCTTCACTAATACCCCCTATAAGTGTGTGTAGAGTGCCGATGATAGTAGAAATATGTATTTTACCTTCATACCCCTATGTTTGAGATTGATTTACGTGCATCTCTAGCTGTTAGTTTTATCCAACCGACAAAAATAAATTCTACAATTTAGCAAATATGCAAAAATTAACCAAAGAAAACAAATACTTATTATTCATAAATATATAGGTTCATTTATAAGTTTATGTCGAACACTAATTAACTTGAACTCAGCATATTTAACTAATTGTTTTGTGTCAATCAACCTGTTTATTTTTTATATCGTGTTCGTGTCAATCCATATAACATGTAAATAAAAAATTTAACACTGAAATTAAAGTTAAGATTTCATTATCTCTTAATCGAATTCACGCTCATATTTTGTCATAAATTAAAAATTAATGATAGCATAAAAAATACTCGAGTGTGTGATATTAGACTTGAAATTTATTATTTACAAAATTTCTATTGTCGACGATTATCTGACAAAACTATAATCATTCTTTTTCTATTATATCAGTTGTTAGACCTTCAAATAATTTTATCAATTAAAATGATATGTAAAAAATAAAAATTGAGTACAAAATATAAACAGTAATTTATAATCTCAAACAATAAAATTTTAAACAAATTTATTTTAATATTTAAATAATTATATAAATATTTTTGCATATTATAATCATAATAATTGATAAGATCATATTCAAAATTTTGCGGGTTTCAATTTGGATGGGTGACAGACACCTTCTATTTGCACATTTGGGTGTTTAAACTTGATATTGTGAGGTTGTAATTAGG